GCAGGTGTCACACGCCGGCTTTATAGATCGAGAGCTGAGCGATCCTGAACCACCGATCGATCAGCTCACGGCTTCTCTCTGCAGAGAGCGGTGACCGTCATTTATCTCTTCCTGCAGGGATTTCCCCTCCCATCTCTCTTCCTCCAGTGCTCATTGGAGGGACAGATAGGGGAGGGGGCGGGCACAATTGGATCTGGTTCAAGAGAGGCAGAGCCAGCTGTCAATCAGGCAGGGGGGTGGACCCCGACAATATTGTTGGGATCTTTCCCGGCTGCAGCGTGGTTCTGCAATAGCCTGATATATGCTCACTTTGGGTCACAGAAGTACATTAGTAAATATCCTTTTACGCAAAAGAGAACGGAAGCCAAAAAAAGGGTTTGGCTTTAGTTCCCTTTTAAAGTAGTATTAAACTCTCAAACATTTTTCAATAATGAAGCCAGAACACATATACAATGACCCAAAGTTTTATTTTCTGCAAGTACAGTCATGTTTCCAAACAGCTGGATCCAACTCTCTCAGCTTCCCTGAACTTCCTGTCCAATACAAGATGACAACGGACAGATCAGTGTCCAGCAGATGTCCATCTACTAGCTTTGGGAACGGAGAAGGGAAGAGAGGGTAGCAGGGGGGAGTGGAGTATCTTGACTTGCTGTAACTGTGTATTTGTGGAGACACACAGCTAACTGGTGACGAATTGTTGAGTGCGTTTGTCATTTGTTTTGCTACACAGCTTACTAGCACACACAATGGTGGCTCCATAGGACCCTGCAAGGGAAAGGAGCCGCCCTAAAGCAGGATATCAGGCCAGTGCTCAGGGGACCCAGCTGATTCTGCAGGAAACTAAATCTTTTGAACATCAAGAGGCATCATCCATTTCTGATCAGCATTTGAAATAGCTCTAAATCCTTTTGACTTGAATACCACTTTAAAGCTGAAGTTTAATCTGCTTAGATTTTGTCCTGCCTGGTCCCTACCTCCTGCCTTCATCAGGCATGCTCATAACATTCTAAAATAAAACCTTTTGGTTTTCATTACCTACCCTATTTTAGACCCAGTGGCATCATCCCTGGGTCTGTGTGCAGGCAGGAGGAGCCAGCAGTTTGCGCTACATAGCTTATGATGCTGGATGACCTTCATACAGGAAATAAGGTGGGATCGGTCTGACTTGCTGCAGCTTTTAATGCACACGATGAGAAAGCTCACAGTGTGCAGTGAAAGCAGAGTAAGCCATTTCAGCACAGGGGAGCGGCTGTGCAAGACTGGAATTTTATTCAGCTTTATTCTAAACTTAAAATATTTAACAAGACACTCAGAGCAAAAGCACAGTGAAATGCTGGAGCCTGCAAATCATGCCGCGCACACACAAATTATTTATTATAGCAGTAAATATTATATGAGCTAACCTCAATCTGCACATTGTTGCCAGACATGCTGGGCCCATACACAAGGGTTTCTGATCTTTCCTGGTGGATTGATCAGACCCTTAGATGACCCCATCTTGCCAGATGTGCCCTTCTACTGCTCTTTACATGCCAGACATCTCAACTCTCCCGGACACCCGGGAGAGAAACATCTTCTCCCGGAAAGGTTCTCTCTGCTCGATGTAGCAAACCTTTCCGTGCTGTCTTTTTTTTTCTGACATCAGGGCCGCCGGCTGCTGTCAGAAAAAAAAAAAAGCATTGGCACTAATAGCTAGATTGCTATTGGCTATTTCAATTTGCAATAGCCAATAGCATACTAGCTATTGCACCCGCCCACTACTGCTGTCAATCAGCAGAGGTGGACCTGAAGTTCTCCATCAGGTCCACTTCTGCTGACTGACAGCAGCAGCAGACGGCGAGTGCAATAGCCAGATTGCTATTGGCTATTGCAAATTGAAATAGCCAATAGCAAACTAGATATTAGTTCCAATGCTGTTTTTTTTTCCTGACGGCAGCAGCTGTCAGAACACTAAAAAAAACAGTAGATAGACACCGCTCTGCCGGACTGTGATAGGCGGCAGAGCGGTGTGGGAGGAGACGCCGGCCGCTCACAGCGCTCTCCACCGCAGCACTCGGCCGGCTGTCACTTTCTCTTCTCCCCGCGGGGACATAGAGCAGCGCCCAGCGGGGAGGAAAGAAATCATGGATGCGCCGATGTATCGGCGCATCCCTAATGATTATACAGGATTTATATAGCGCCAATAGTTTGCACAGCGCTTTACAATATAAGGAAGACATTACAATCACAATACAATTCAAGACAAGATGTTAAGGAGGTCCCTGCCCGTGACCGTAGTGCTAGAGCCAGTGACATGGGTCCAGTGCAACCTCTCATCTCACAGGTCAGTTAAGCTTGCTGTAAGGGGGCATTTTTCCCAATTACTAATTATAGCTAATGTACCATGAGCTGCAGATATAATATTTAGCAGGGGTCCAAGGAGACCTGAAAATTATTTTACTCCATAGGCACCATCTTGTGGGAGATCAACATCAGCAATAAACACTTTACGGTAACCTCCATAAACAAAGACTAGAGGCCACCACCTAAAACTAGTGGAGAAAAAATGTATGCACAAGGGGCGTAGGGGCTTCTTCACAGTAAGAGCAGTCAGGGTATAGAACTCGCTGCCACAAGCAGTGATTTCAGCTAAGAGTGTTGAATCGTTCAAAAAGCATTTGGACGATTTCCTCAGAGACCGCAACATACAGGGGTACAGGTACTCTTAAAAGGAGAACTATGGGGTTAAGGATTTTCCCCATAGTTCTCCTTAGGGTAACGGGAGGACACAAACTAGCGTCCTCCCGTCACCCTAAGCTCAGTATATCGCTGTAGCTCGCGGTATACTGAGACGCCACAGTATACCGCGAGCTACTGCTCGCGGTATACTGAGACACTGCAGCTGAAGCGGATCCCGACAATTATGTCTGGATCCACCCAGCTGCGTGAGTGACAGCTGGCACTGCCTATCTAGAGGCAGAGCCAGCTGTACCCGCCCCCTTCCCCGTCCGATCCGCCAGTCAGCCCTGGCGGATCGGAGCGGGGAATCCAGCTACTCCCCTGTCATGGCAGAGAGCTGTGACAGGATCAAGTGGTGAGCGAACGCCGGTATGTGTTCGCTCACCTCCCGATCTACTGAGCTGACCTGTGACAGTCTCATTGTCACAAGTCGGCTAGAACTATGAGGTGAGTGAAAAGCACTCACCTCATAGTTCTCCTTTAAGAAGAAGATGACACATGTAGTCAAGAACCAGCTGCACTCCTTACCGGAATAGTAGTAAACCTGCCAAGCAGGTGGGTGCTTGTAGTGACCACGGACGGCCCCATGAACAATGCAGATCTAGAAAGGATTGTCACCAGCACACCAAAAGTTTTGAAGCAAAAAGTCCTTTATTGACAAATCGCCATCCAATACAAGCGCTTTCGGGGTCTCAGCAGTACCCCTTCATCAGGCTCAGAATTCTGCGATTTGTAAATAAAGGACTTTTTGCTTCAAAACTTTTGGTGTGCTGGTGACAATCCTTTCTAGAAGATGACACATGGACTCATATGCATACACGCTATAGGTTGGACTTGATGGACCCGTGTCTTTTTTTTAACCTCAAATATTATGTAACTATCAGTCTGTCACTGATCAATGGACCACCAAAAACCTCTGGAGGATCCCTGGTTAACAATGAGTGCTTTATAGACTACTTTATAGGAAGAGGAAAAAAAAGGAAGAGGTCTGCATAAGAGGAAAGTGCATCTGGTGTCCACGGCAACCAGACTGTAGAGAATGAAACCTTACACCTGATTAGTTGCTATGTTAAACAGTCTTATTTCCTTGAAACAGTTTTAGAACTTCTATCCTTTGTAATAAAGGAAAAATATTAGGGGGGGGAAAAAAAAAAGGGGGGGTTGGAAACTGTCTACATGGGGGTGGGGAACGTGGAAAGGCCAAAATGTTATTTGACCCATGATGGACTTTAATTCACATATTTGAAACCCCTTCGAATTTTGTATACCAACTGTGTTTAAAATATGTTTGTCATTAGGCTGAACTCAAGGAACATATACCTATTTTTCAACCTGACGTAACTATGTAATGCCAGCCATTACCATTACATAAGGGTGCCCATAATGGGTACCATACAGAATCAGTAGTCACGCTATCAACATTTAAAATGTTCAATTCCAATATTTAGAAACCAAAAGCCATGAAATCTAATTGATGAAAGCTGCACAAGAGAGAAGTCCAGCTGGTGTCCATGGCAACCAGACATCAGTTAATCAAACCTTACAATTGATTGGTTACTATATGGGAAACAACTTTATCTCCTTGAATACTTCTATCCTTTTCAAGAGGAGAATAATGTTAGGACATTAAAGTTAAAAAAAGGGGCATTGGGGACTGTCTATATTGGGAAGGGGGGGGGGGGTGCTGAGTGAAGAGAAACTTGGAAAGGCCATAATGTTATTTGATCCGTGATGGACTTTAATTCACATATTTGAAACATCTCCATTTTTTTCCAACCAACTGTGATTAAACTAGTTTTGTCTTGTGGCTGAACTTGATGGACATATGCCTTTTTTCCAACCTGACATAACTATGTAACACCAGATGACACCCATTTCCAAATGGTACGTCCCAGGACACATCAGAATAAAATGTGTACCATACAAAACAAAGTAGTCATGCCATTAATACACAATAGTAAATTCCACTATATGGAGTCCAGAGCAATGAAAATCAAATTAATGAGAGGAAAGTGCCGCAGGTGACCATGGCAACCAGACAGTAGAGAATGAAACTGTTTGGTTGCTATGGTAAACTGAATTACAACTGTTTGGTTACTATTGGAAACAACTTTTTTTTCCCCTTGAATCGGTTTTATAACATCCATCCTTTTGCAAACAGAGAACAAAGTTACTTCAAACTAATAACTTAGACTCAAGTTTCTATGAATTTCACAGTCTCAGGTTACAAGTGTCATTCCAGTGATTATTATTCCTAAAACAACTAAAGGTGAGCGTATTACCTGCCTATGTGTTCCATTTGCATATGATCCATTGTAGCTCTTGTGACCATTTTCCTGGGGAACACCCTTGCCTCCTGCAGTCTTCTCTGTGGCTCCCTGATGGCAATTTAAAGAGGTATGCCCTACAGCCACCCCATTAGCCTCACCCTTCAGCTGTAGGGTCAAGCCACAAAACCTCTGGAATTGGGCCACCAGCTGAGGGTCCTGCAGAGTTTTGATCAGCTTTAGGGCCATGATCTATGTGACTGAAACTAGAAAAGAGGTAATAGAACAGATCCAGCCCTTGCCTTGCCCTTTGATCAGCATTGATATTGCAAAAAGTAGAGAGCGTGGGATACAGGTGTACAGGGCGGTCCTAGTGCCTGTACACACCTTACTACCAAGCACCTGAACCTACAACAGTAACATCTTCACTGCCAATTACATCCAAGCTGATGTAAGAGCAGCACACCTTCCATGAGTCAAAGAGCCATTCCCTCCATGCTGGCTGCAAAGACAAGTCTGACCTGTTCTACTTTTCTTCCAGGTTAGGATGGCTATGTGCAGAAGCAGCCATTGTTTATGAATATCTTTGTCACTACATGCAGAGATCAAGATTATTGAGTAACTACATCATTTTGGATTGTGAATACATTATCATACAAATAACCGGTTCGATTCTTGTGTTTATATAACCATGCCGGGTTTTATTCATTCCTAATGCAAGGAGTGAGGCATACAACCTAGATGCTAGAAGGATCCATGTACACAGGAGTCAAGCCCTCAGGTTCATGGTGCACCTGGACGTTAAAGCGGACCTTCAAGTGATACTACACTCAGGAGTTAGGCTGGGTTCACACCTAGGCGTATAGAATATGCGTGTTTGTCGCGCGTTTTGTGCCGCAGTTAAACAACGCACGACAAACGAGGGCTACCTGGACGTATCCCCATGGATATACGCGCGGCAAATACGCCCCAAAGAAGCTCCTGTACTTCTTTGGGCGTAAGGCGTTTTGCAGCGCGTTCCTACGCGCCGTAAAACGCCCAGGTGGGAACCATGCCATTAGGCAATCATTGGTTTTCACATGTTGAGCGTTTTACAGAGCGCAGGAACGCGCTGTAAAACGCCCAGGTGTGAACCAGGCCTTAAATCTTAAAATTATATTCAAGTATCTTAACTATTACCCAAAATGTATCTTATTTGTGTATCACTCGGCTGTAGATCCTCCAATCATCTCTGAATTGGTGCCGACACTGTCCTTCCTTCTGGAGAGTGGCTACTTTTGTTCCCCATGGGCCCTAGGTGTGTTATAAAGTAGCCACCGCTCCAAGCCCGCTCCTGTGATAAAGTATAGTTTCAATACAAATTATTAAACTAAACATGAGATTGTAGTCCATCACGGGAGTGAGCTTGCAGCTACTTTACAACACATATAGGGACCACGGGGAACAAATGTAGCCACCCTCCAGAACAGACCTTGGCATTTTACGGCCCACAGGCCATATCTGGGCCTTGGTCTGTGGCAGTCTGCCCACTGACCTGTGTTCGGTCATGGGTGACTAGCAGTTGATGCATCGGCCTCCAAGGCCGGTGCATCCACTGCGAGCTATAGCCCAGTGCAGGTCAGCGATCGGTCTGCGTCCGGGCCATGTTTCCATTCAGTCCTTGGTTGTCTTAGCAACCTATGACGACAGGGGTCCTCCTCTGCAGCCATTGGTTGCTAGGGCCACTGGGCGCATGTGCTATGTCTGAACATGTGCAGGGTATTCAAACGCATGTGAGCACATGGTCCAAGATACCAAAAATCAGCGGCATCCCAAACTCCTGGCAGAGATCTGCAGTATATCTGCACATGCATGGGATATTTAAAGATGGCGGTGTGGAAGAGGAGTGGCAGGACAAGGGGGTGAAGTTCTTCTTTAACATTAGTCTCTTTGCAGTGCAGTAAATGTCCTGTTCACCTCTGTGAAGTTTCTGTACATACACAGCACCGCACTGGGATGGACAGATAACATAATTATGAAGTACATGCAGCACAGACAAGCACTGTGTGTATATAGCATGTTTCTGCACCACACACAGCCAGACAAAAATCAAAGCTCACGGAATCACAATTGTTTCATAAACTCTTATTATTTTCTCTGCTGGAAAAATAATAGGGTTAAACATTATATTTTCAAGGAGCTGAATTCTGGAAGCTGTGCCAAAGGAAGGCAGACAGATGGACATGCACTTGTCATCAGTATTGGCTGTGGTCTCCCTGCAGCAGATTTTATCCTCATTACTGACTTACCAGGCATTGCTCTGCACTGTGTCTGTGCGGAGGTGGCCATCTTGGTAGATGCTGGGCTTTGTTTCCTCATGTCAGGGCCTCCAGCAAGGAGCAGCACAGAAGCAAAATTACCAAATCCTCTGAGAATGGCAGTCAGAGACAGCAGTGCCTGAGATCTTACACTGCAGATATACAGCTATGAGGATGTATACACAGGAGTGCCTAGGCGCCCTCACATAACAGACAGTGCTCTGCTATTTTTCAGGAGGAATTTCAGGAAAATATACATTTTCCAGGGTACTGCTTGGGCACAATGAACACGCCTAGATGTTTACTATAACACTGCTCAGTGGCGTCACAAGGGGGGTGCAGGGGGTGCGGCCCGCACCCGGGTGACACCATTGGAGGGGTGACACCAAAATGACTGACAGTCATTTTGGTGTCTCCCCCTCTAAAAAGTCAGGCAGTCGATCATGGACTGAGACCCCGACAGTGTCAGGAGAGAAGAGGGGACCCGGCGGCATACCTCATTCCTCCGGGTGAGCGTCCCCTCCTCTCTCTGCTGGCGTCCATCACTAAAATGGCCGCCGACAGGCGTCAATTAGATGACCGCACATGCGCAATGACGTCATCGTGCACGGTGACGTCACACCCATGCACGATGATGTCACTGCGGGGTGTCACCCGGTCTCGGGATGCCCCTGACAATGCTCAGCAACCTGGGGCAACCTGCAACAAGTACAGTCATAACTCCTGATCTGCATGCTTGTTTGGGTCAGTGACTTAGAAGGTACTTATGGTATTGGATCATGATGACAGCCAGTCACCTAACATTTTCAGAAGGAGAGGTCATATTCCCTCATATCAGGTTACTTGTAAGATGGAAAAACAGACATGCAAAGGATTGCCATGTGTATTCATACGTGAATCTTGGTGTACTTCCAGATCTGTGCAGTAATCACGAGTGAAGCTTTCCCTCTGTGCAGGAACTTCCTGTAATAAAGACCAATCCCTGCTGCTCTCTCTCCTTGTGCAGGGTGACTGGTCTTGTCTCTGCCCCCTCCTGTAATAAAGACCGGTCACTGCAGCTCTCTCTCCTTGTGCAGGGTGACGGGTCCTAACTCTACCCTCCTCTTGTAGTTTTCTGCAGGAATTCTTTAGTGGGTGAAGCCTGCTCTCTGCACAGGTTATGCACAACACAGTGATGATGTCACTGCTACTTTTACAAGGTTATAACTGGGTTATCCTAAAGCATTTGGTCCACACAAAGTGAATTTATATCCTCTGTGGCCCATTGAGGAATATGTTTAAATGAAAATGTTTCTGCTCAGAATTCAGCTTTAAGTAGAAGTCTGCCCCCAAAACATTTGTTGGATCTGATCTCCTTGTGGGCCTTCACTGCTCCCTATAACCCAATTCCCCACCCACTCCACTCGTTCTATTGTAACATCTAGGGCGTGACAGAAAGAGGAACTTCCTATTGTGTCTTGCAGGATTGCATTCTCCAAATATTTCTATGAAGAAACCACCGGAGGGCTTGTGACACCGGCATTGTAATGTCACCTTCCTGCTTGTAAATCCTCCTTGTGATTATATGAAGAATGAACCCTCCTGACGCAGTAATAGGGGCATCTCCTGGGGTCTAGTAGATCTAGCAGAGGAATAAACTATTTCCCTCCCTACAATAAAATAATGTAATAAAAATTGATCTAACAGGAATTATCGTTACACAAGCTGTTTTGTATTTTTAATGTTATTCCATCAATCTGTATCCATTTCTGCCGATGTGATTGGCTCACTGCTTTTCCCAACAGTGTTTTCTGTTATTACAGCACTGGAGCTGGTTTTGTGATTATAGCAGGCAGATCACTCCTACCTTGGAATTCTTATTTCTTAAAGTGGACCTGTCATCAGATCAGGGGTGGGCAACTCCGGCCCTCCAGGTCTGCCTTGACTACAAATTCCATCATGCCTCTGTCTCTGGTACTCATGCCTGTAACTGTCAGTCTTGCATTCCTCATGGGACTTGTAGTTCCACAACAGCTGGAGGGTCGTAGTTGCCCACCCCTGCATCAGATATAGCTTTCATGTTAAGTACAGCATGCTAAGTAATGTATCAGTGTAAAGCTGGCCATACATGGATCAAATCTTGGCTGTTTCCTGGTGAATCGGCTGAAATTTTATTGGTGAGTGGTGCTGCTGATGCTACCCGACTCAATAGTCGATGGTAAATTGTTGGCCAAACAGTGGCTGCAGCCAATCAGATGAAATCACTCTTCTGGTATTTTGATGGCTGTGGGCCCTGCCTGTCAGAATACAATAGCAGGCAAGGAAGATTCTACCATCCATGCTCTTTAGCGTGCATTGTGGAATCAAGTGATTTCTCATGTTCATGCGGGGCTGAACAAGAAACATTTTAAAGTAATATTAAAAGTTTTTTTATACTATGTAAAATGCTGGTTACGTCACTTACAATAGATTCTGCAGTGTCAACTGGTCCCCTGAGCACTGGCCCTATTATCCTGTTTTAGGGTTGTTCCTTTTCCTTGCAGGGTCCTATGGAGTCACCCTTGTGTGTGCTTCTAAGCTGTGCGTGTCTCCAGAAACACACAGACCCAGCAAGACAATCCACTCCCCTCTTTCCTCCCTTCTATAACAGTATATAGACATTTGCCCTAGACCAGTGGTTCTCAACCTGTGTAACCTCAGGACCCACATTTGTCCTTGGTCATTAAGTCGCCACCCAAGTCGCACCGCACTGGAACACACGGCATTAGGGTACGGTGCAGGCGTAAATCCTCCTTGTGATTATGAACCCTCTTGACACAGTAATGGGGGGGCATCTCCTGGGGGTGGAAGGTGCATTTGGACAGCAAAAAGTTTCCCAGCACACTCGCCAACATGCAAAAAAAACCTGTCTCGCCGCTAAGGTTAAAAGCAGAGGTTTGGATACACGTCTTCTGCAGAAAATGTGGAAGCGGCACAGCCGCGCCAAGGCACCTCTATATAGTGCGGTCCTAACTCTAAACTATGAGAGT